AGTGGAGACACCAGAGACAGATAAAATACAGCCACCAGCCAATTGTAGCCCCCACCTTATTGTGGAGGAACAGGAAGTGAGGAGCATTCTGAGGGCTGTGGACCCTAGAAAGTCTGCCGGTCCTGACGGTATCTCTGGCTGAGTACTTAAAGACTGTGCTGATCAGTTGGCTGGAGTCTTTACCAGGATCTTCAATCGGTCTTTATTCCAGTCCACTATTCCATCTTGTTTGAAGGCTTCCACTATTGTTCCGCTGCCAAAGAAGTTCCCTGTCAATAACCTCAATGATTAGAGACCAGTGGCACTCACTCCTATCATCATGAAGTGCTTTGAGAAATTGGTCTGCCGGCACATCATTTCTGGTCTTCCGCATACATTTGATAAACACCAATTTGCATACAGAAAAAATAGATCTACAGAGGACACTAGCCATCACTCTTCACACTGCTCTGACTCATCTAGAACAGCGGGGGGGGCTCTGTGAAGATGCTTTTTGTGGATTTTAGTTTTGTGTTTAACACAATTCTTCCAAATAGACTAGTGTCTAAACTTCTGGACCTTGGACTTTCCAATTCAATCTGCTTTTGGATTATGGATTTCCTGTCTGGCCGCTCACAGAGAGTCAGATTAGGTAATCATACCTCTTCAGCCCTTATTCTTAACAGTGGTACACCACAGGGTTGTGTGTTGAGTCCCTTACTCTATACTCTTTATGTGCATGACTGCATTCCCACTCATGTTAGTAATACTATTGCTAAATTTGCAGATGATACAACAGTGGTGGCACTCATCTCCGGGGCTGTGTGAGTCTGCCTACCGAGATGAGGTAGACCGGTTGCTTTCGTGGTGTGGAGACAATAACTTGGTCCTCAACACCAATAAGACCAAGGAGCTTATAGAGGATTATAGAAGGAACAGATCAGACACCCAGCCCTTGCTTATCAATGAAGACCGAGTGGAGCAAGTGGCCAGTTTTAAGTTTCTGGGTGTTACCATAAAAGAGGACCTGACCTGGGGTGCTCACATTACAGCACTGGTCAAAAGGGCCAGCAGAGATTAAACTACCTGAGACTTCTCAGAAAACAACAACTGAATAGAAAACTGCTGGTGACTTTCTACAGCTGCACCATAGAGAGCATTTTAACTTACTGCACCTCTGTATGGTTTGCCAATTGCACAATGGCAGATAGGAAAGCACTCCAGAGGGTTAACGTCATTGCCCAGAAGATCATTGGTTGCCCTCTCCCCTCTTTGGAAGACCTTTATAGTTCCCGCTGCCTTAAGGAAGTTCAAAACATTCTCAAAGATCCATCTCATCCTGGGAACCCTTTTTTTGAACTATTACCATCTGGCAGATGGTACAGAATAATGAAAACAAGGACAAATAGGTTGAAAAACAGTTTCTATCCCAGGGCAGTAGCTCTTTTGAATTCTGCTGTATATGGTGTCGGGGGTTTTCGGTTCAATGTGTGGAGGGTGAAGGATGAGTGTTTGTGTTTATTTTCATGGTCATGATGTGCACTGAAGATGGTGTTAGATTTCGTTGTACAAGGTGCAATGACAATAAAATAAAGTAAACTAAACTAAAAGTAGTTTAATACATCATAAAAAATTTTTTCTCAGAAATCATAAGTTTTTATTAAGGAAACATTTTAATGTATTTTATATGTCTTTATTGCTATTCTGAGTATTAATATTGTTTTGATGTATGATTTTAAAAGTATGGCCATAGTGTACTAACATAATTGTATGATCTGTTCTATCCCGTAGTCATGGCAGAGACTGAGAGACAGGAAGGATTTGAACTGTATACTACCTGTAAGAGGAATTATACAAAAAAGATGATCTCACTAACTGGACTCTTCTGAAATACAGCATACATGAGATGCCCGGGATGCGATATTTCTCCCTTTCTTGCTGCACTTTTTTTAAGAAGATATTTTTCTTTCAGGTTTTTGGTAGGAAAATTTTTTGTAAGAATTCAAAGAAGATTGCAATGTTTATGATATTAAATCAATTTGAACACTGGCTTCTGGAGTTATTAAATCAGTGACCAATAAACTACTGCTATAATACGAATTTTGCAAAATCTGTTGCAGTTTGATTTCCTGTTACTATGTATTGTAGTAGTTTATGCATCCACATTAAATACTGAAACAGAAAGATGAATGTATGACAGCCAGCAGTGATAATTAAAAAAAAGATAATGGTGTAGTTTTCCTAAGAGTAAGAAGTACAAGCCAGTAGGCTCCGCTTTACAACTACTAATTATAATATGCACTTTAGCTCATTCCAATTTTAATGCCATAGTAATAAACACCAGCTTTTAAGCAATATTAACAACTTGGTCCTGATTTTTCCTATTGATCCAGGCTGATTCTCATTGAAATCATGACTTGTATCTTGGCCTATGCTAATTGCATACAAGAATCTATTTGATTAGCTGCTGCTGTATACAAGAACAAAAATCTTCACAAAGAAAAGTAAATATTGAGAAAAAGATATATTTTTATTTTGATTTGATTTTGATATTTTCCAAATATGCAGAATTTTATCACAGGAAACATTCAGTAACAGGAGGCCCTAACTGTTGTCTGAATTAGTAGATCCCAAATATGCCATTACTGTCATTTTGAAGAATAACTATGGAACCTTAGTTGAAATTTTATAACTAGGAGTTCAGTAATATTTTGGCTGTAGTGTCGGTTTACTATATTCTAGTGGTCGTAGTAGTGCCTTCCTGAGGGAGTAAAAATAAAACACAACACATAACAAAAAAGAAAGCCTAGGTACTGCAGATCTTAAATTTTTGTCCTTTTTCTTTTTACGAAATGAAGTAGGAGGAGTTTGTTACTCTCTTCAGACCAGCGGTATCTTTAAACTATTATGAAACAGATGGAAAGCAAGCACAATCAAGAGTGATGGTCCCCTTAATTGCACTTCTAATATGAAAAAACGAAAACCTGCAAAGGTTGTACTACTGCCTGTATATCCCATCTATGTAAAATCCTTGCATCACAGTAAATAAATGTAAAGAAGTGTCCTCTGCACTTTCTCATGCGCTTTGCTCCAAGATGTGAATTTGCCTTCAGTCAGGCTCTCAACATTTTCTTTCTGTATCAATAATGTACTGATGATTGCTAATCGTAACTGCTACAATAATTTTTTTTAATTGTTTCTATGTAAATATTAGAACTGCTATATAACTTGGGATGTAAAACAAATCTTACATTTTAGCTTTTTTTCTAAAAAAGTTTGGGACTTCTTTTAGATCTGCTGTAGCACAATTTGTGCCTCTTATATTTATTGCAGACCAAGTAATATGTTAACGAATAATTTCTTTTCATTGGTATCAACCTTGCTTTTTTTTAAGTTTAAACATTTTATTGTGTTAAATGGAATAAAGTTTCTCTGTTGGAAATAAAGCAGTTTTGTTACATGGGCTTTCAGTCAGCTGTTTAATTTATTTTTCCTTTTCTTTCCCTAGCTTAAGCTACCAAGGTAATCATGTTTTTAGCCATGCGCAATTTTGTCATTTGTGACCTCATTAGATTAAAACATCGCACATTAGATTTGTACAATCCTTGGAGTTTACATGCACAAACATACTACCTCTATGCAACTCTTAAAACAGCTGTGCCTTTTTCCCAGGCTTGGGTGATAGTCTTAAGGAGTTGCAGACAGTTGTTAAATTTACATCCTGCCGCATCCAAAGAGCTACACAGTGCAACATTTTGGTAGTGAAGTTCCACTTTGTATTGTGAATGCAGGAAAAATAACCTGCAGCTTTAGCTAATTTCACAAACCCTTAGAGCAATTCCACAACTTTGGGCAAATCGTTTTAGAGCTCTGCCAAGAGTGGTTTTCCTGGTAGCTTACTGCTTGGAAGAAAGGTAAAACATAACCATTACTACAAAGAGCTGTGTTTCTATCCCTCCCTATTATGGGCCCACTTTTGAATTTGGCTCTCTATTTTCTGCCTCATTATAGGTTCTGGATTCATCAGTCACACAGGGTGTGTACTAGCTTTCTCTGAGGGCACCTAGCTGCTTGAAAGTAAAAGGGAATTGGGTGTGAAAGAGGCAACAGAGGCAGAGGCAATACTGTTGCCAAATGGTCCAGGCAAATTGCATAGCTGATGTTTGCACATCTATTTAACATTTGTTCTACTAGATGAATTTAATTCTCAATATTAGTTTTCAGTTTTCTAAATTAGCAATCACCGGTAAGCCAAAATGCACGGAACCAGATTTTCCTAATAGTCCAATACATCTGGGGATATTTGTATCGGGGAGCGGGGAGAACGACCTGTCAGAATGTTCTCTTGTAAGAGTTACCATTTTCTGCAGGTAAGGAACTTGTTATTTTCAAAGTTGTGGCTTTATTTACAGACCAGTAAGAAAGGTTGCTGAATTTATACAACATTGTGCTACCTATTCAGTTATAGTTTTGCAGGAAAAAACCATTCCCAAGATTAAGGAGCAAAGAGTACCTGTCATAATGTAGTCATAGGCTTCGACTCAGCTGAGAAACAGAACTTTTTCTAGTTAATGACTTGGAAAGACAATTTGAATGTCAACATGCTGTTTATTTTAGAAGATATATGTAAAGGGAAGGATTGATTGAGAGTGATCAATAACAAGACTCTTTCCTCAAGAATGCAGAACCTCACCATCATAAACAGCCGCTTCAATTGGCTCTTGCATATTGCTTAGCTACAACCAAATAGGACATGGGAAAATCTGAAAAAGAGCAAGCAAGCACATAGGAAGAGTGACCAGTCACCAATTTCAGTAGGTTGTTTATTCATTGCTCAGCAAGACAAAATTAATGAGAAAAAATGTTTGGAATTGTATGAAGTTTTTTGGAAAGGCAGGGTAGAGATGGCAATCGCCTGAACCCAGCGAGAGAATTTGCAATGTTCATTTGAGGTCATCTGAACCAGTTGTCCCTTGATTATGATGTATATGAGAAATTCTATTTGCTACTAAAGGCTAATGATGGCCTATAGTAAACCAGGATCAAGACCAGTGACTTCCAGAGCTGCCTTTGTTTTAGAATGTTTTGACCCAAGAAACAAGGTGGTGTTAGGACCCAGCATTCAGGTTCAAGGTGGCAGAGCAGTTTGTTTCAACTTTCTGTTCTATTTAAAGACTTCTCCTGAGTCAGGAGAGCCACTAAGCTGTGGTGGGTGACAGTTTGCTTCTGGCAGCTCTGGAGAATATTGAGTAGAAGGGGAAAAAACATAGCAGAGGAACTACCTGGGGAGAAATGGAGGCGGACTGCATCTCAGAATGTGATGAATCACTTGATATTTCTGTGGAAGATGAAGAGGAGGAAGAGGATGGGTCACAGGGTGAAGAATTTAACAGCAGGTATTGTTCTTCAAAGAAAATAAAACTCATCAGTGCCAGATTGAGAAATGGTTGGGAAATCGGACAAGAAGCAAGAGCTTTATGCAAATGCAGTGAGCCTTAGTGGAAATAAAAGTGTGACGAATGAGTGAGATTTTCATGGTAAATGTAAATGCAGCTGGTTGTGTTTCTGTCTGCACCAAAGGCATTTTTCTATTTAAAGATCTGACGTTGAGACTCTTGGATTTGGCATCTTCTCCTCCTCCTCCTCCTCCTCCCTAGCTGGGTTGTCAATGCATCTCAATCAAATTTACTCTAAGAGATATATATGTGTAGAGGAGAAAAATGTACAAGTGTAAAATGACAGTAAAAGAAAGACTTGAATTTCTTCAGTGAAAATTACGAGGAGGTTCTGGGTGATGTAAAAATGGGAGAGACATTTGAGTGAAAGGATCAGTAACTTTTAGAGAATTCCATTTCCATTTGTGTTTGGAGTCTGTAACCAATTACTTTCCGGCAAGTTGTGCATGGCTTGCTTAACCTGGGTAGTATCTAAACACCATCACACTTTTATGGAGGAGTTTGAAACATACAACACTTTTAGCATTTAAAGAAAGATAACATTTAGAAAAGAACATTGAATAAATGGGCTTGAACCATAGATCCAGATTCTAACCAATATCTAAAAGAGCGGTGGGCACCATGTTGATATGCATGTTCTGTATTTATACACTATGCAAGACACATAATACGTAAAATCAGCACTGCCAAAACTATGATGGGGGTGGATGGGTGGGGAAACAGCAATTATAGAGTTAGAAGACTTTGAAAGTCATGTGTTCAAAATCCTGCTCAAATTTGGAATTGTAAAGAAATATACATACAACTATAGTCTTCCTGGAAAATGGCCAACCTCAGTTTAAATTTTTCTATTGTGACTCTGCCTTCTCTGCCTATTACCATCAGGTAAACGAAATTAGCTGATCTCTACAAGAATTCATTATTATTCTTTTTTTTATTAAAACAGTTCATTCAGACATACATTGCCAAGCATACCTGCAAATCTTTTTTGAATTCTTTTAGACCATGAATAACCTGGGGCATTTATCTCAAATACGTGCAAGAACCAGAAAGAAAACAGGTGACCCTGCTTCCTAGGACATTCCCTAAGCTCTGGGGCTAACCTTGTGAAACTATAATGTCAGATTTGTATCTGTCTCAAGAGATAGCTTGAAGATGGTTTACTATACACATAGAGAAACAAGAGTATTGAAAACTAATCTGGAGTAGTATATGGATCTTGTAGAACTTTCAAAACTTTGAAAGGTTATGTTTACCAAATTAAAAAAAATATTTCTGGCAGCTTTAATCTCAAGGTATGATAAATGTTCTAAGTAATCTGAAATATTATTTCCATCCATGAATTTATTTGGAAGAAACAGTTGCATCTGTAAAGGTAGCTTAAACATAGTTAGAGGAACAATTGTCTGTTCTTCTGGTTTGGGAATGAATGCCTTCAAGTAGGATTAGGCAATGAATAATTGTATTTAATAATTTAATTGATTTTATGAGAAATGTTGAAATTAAATTATTTTTAAAAAAATAATTATCAAATGTGTAGCATCTTGAATAAGTGAAAGAAAACTATAGGTTTTTTTTTGCTGAGCATGTAAATAGGTTCCTCAATTATCATGGTTTAGCATATTATTCTCATGAGCCACGGTGGCGCAGTGGTTAGAGTGCAGTACTGCAGGCTACTTCTGTTGACTGCCAGATGCCTGCAATTTGGCAGTTCAAATCTTACCAGGCTTCAGGTTGACTCAGCCTTCCATCCTTCTGAGGTCGGTAAATTTGATGGGCCAAATTGTTGGGAATATGCTGACTCTGTAAACCGCTTAGAGAGGACTGTAAAGCAGTATATAAGTCTTATTGCTATAGAAATAATTTATATTAACAATAAAATTCCCTGCATTCTATTAAAGAAATAAATCCCAGTGAGTACACGAATACATAGATTGAAATCCTAAGTGCACAACCCTTTATATAGCTATTCAGAATGTTAGCAGTTCACTATAATAGAATAAAATGTGGGCCAATAATATTACCAAACTGTTGTGGCCAAATAACATCAAAATGATAAATATAAGGAAGAAACATGAGCTCAGATTTAACCACACAAAGAATTGGCTTATTAGCTTACTTTCTACTGGTTTTTATTAGTTGGATTTACAATTAGATAATCTTAATTTCATTAACAGAAGCTGTGCATTAGATTTTTTGGAGGAGGAAAGATAAACATATATTACAAACGGAATGAATTTAAATTTTACCATTTGATTTTTTTTAAACAAAAACTGCTACAATCATTTTTAATTGCAGCCAATAAGTTCACAATATCTAATTTGTATTAGTCTACTAAGAATATTGGGTTCTGCACTATGGATACATAATTTAATTAGCAAAATGGATTCTCTGTATGTGTGTGTAGCTTCTGCTAAGCAGTGGTTAATGGAAATGACTTGTGTTGGTTGCTAAAAATGTTCGATGTTTCTGGGAACTCACCCAACTTTGCTGTGTGCTTCTTCTGTATAGTAATAAATGCTTTTTACAAAATCCATCTAGACATTTATCAGCAGACTGAGATAAAATTGAGTTAGAGGCATAAGAGCAGAAGATGCATCATAGTCTGCTATTAATCTGGGACTGCTAAAAGATTCTTAAAATTCAGTACAGCCAGTTCCTGTGCTGAAAGTAGGATTACATTTTGGGGGAAACAGAATGGGGTTTTTTCAAAATCAGCACTTCCTCTGCACCTCCCAAAAAAACAACAACATTAATACCTACTTGTTTTGTGATCACTCCTTAATGCCTACTTGTTTTGTGATCACTCCTTAATGCCTTTGCTGTTTCTGCGGGGAACAGAGGAACCTGGCTCCAGTAAGATGATTCAATTTTTGTACAGATGTGGTAGAGGACAGTAATTCAACAGAGTTATACAACATGCCACTGTTACCTCACTGGACACATATTAAATTTGCACAGATTCTTCTTATTTTCGAGCTGATCAGCTGTAAAGTAAAGGCAGATCTCCAGTGGACTGTATATGAATTCCATAGACATATTTAAAGAATAAAAATGGTAGCAGCTATATTGCTTTCCCAGTTAACAGAAGGAGGAGGAGGAGGACAGAGGCTAGAAGCAGTGATGAAGGAATGAGGGTGATGAAGGAGTAACTTCATCAGTGGTCTTATATGCTGATATTTATGACAGATTGTGGCCATCAAGGCAGAACTTGTGTAGAAATTCCTGATGTATCCAAAAATTGGGTATACTGCAATCAATACATGAATTCTCTCTGTCAGAGGGAGGATGTCTGTCATTCTTTCTCTGCAGATATTATGCAATAAATGATATTGTTACGCTGGCCCATTCTCTGGTTTCCATGTATTCTGAATTCCATGCTTAGAAGTCTTGACTGCATGGAACTCTATATCAGAAGATGTCCATGGTCACAACATGAACCTGCTGATGTTTTCTCTGTGTAGGAAAGCTTCAATTTGAGAAAGAAGCTTGCCTCTTAGAGCATGATGGTGGAAACTGATGGGGCATTTGGCAAGCTGGCACACTGTTCTCTTCACATTCTCTGGCAATGTGGTTTTACTATCCTAACACATAACTAACTCAAACATTGACCTGGATCCAATCCCAATTTTGAAAAAACTGTGTTATTCTTTTGTAAATGCTTTCCTCCCTCCTGAGCGTCAAGGGTAGCCAGTTCCATATACTTGTGCACTGGAAAGTTTGGCTCATTCAAAATAAAATAGAGACCATGTGCCAGGATAGCCAGTCTGATATAGTAGTTAATGTCCAGGCTAAAACTCAGGAAACCATGACTTCAGGAAGGTATGTTTGCCTCCTGGAGTTACTTACAAAGGTATAAAGGAGGGATAATAATTAATTAGTTAAATGAATAAATAAAATAGCCTGACATTGATAGAGCTGGGATGGCCAATCTGTATGACAGAGAAAGTATGAAGATTTGCTGCTATTATTGTACCTAGACAATATTTATTCTAATTAAGCCATTCATTATTATTAAGCTTTCATTATTATGGAAATAAAAAGCAGGAATCCAGATGCAGCATCTGGCAGCATCTTTCTGCTTCTATTCCTTGTTAAAAAATAAATCTGAAACTCTAAAGCAGACCCCCCCCCTCCCAGTATAACTGTACAAGGCTCCAAACCAAGCTGGGAAACTTGCCTGCTTTTCTTGTGAAAATAAAGCTAACAGAGGACATATCAAAAAGCTGCCAGGATGGAGAGAATCACACATGTTATGTGCATTTGTAATAATCTATAAACACACTTTTAATTTCTTAAAAAAATATCAAGAACAATCTTTTGGAGAAGGTGTTGCTGATCAGGAAAGCAGCACCCCACAGAGCCTATCAATGATATTTGTCCTAGCTTTTTCTTTAAAGTGAACTCAAGAAGTGCTGAGGCACAGGATATGTTCAATCTGTGTATTTCCTAAAATGTCTTGAAGCAATGACATGGCAACAGCTAGTATATTGCTGCTGTCTGTTTCTGCCTCAGAAATGTACACAGGAAAGTACTCACCATACTTTTTGGATAATTCCCTGCAAACCAGGATTTAACTCGTATATTTAAATATCTCCTGATAGTTACCATGGATTACTGGTATCAGTTTGAATTCATTTGTCTTTTGCTTCAAACCAAAGTGGCAAATTGGAGGATTTCCTAGCAATTTCTTCAATTGTTTTGTCTATGATGGCTTCCATCATAGCAGGTGTAGGTCCAATTGGGCATCATCAAGCAGAACCTCATACTAAGCTGTTCCATGGTTTCAGATTGTGAACAATGGTGCTGAAGCATCAGCATTTTGCTCCACCATATATCATAATGTGGTTAGGCTTGTTACTCAGAGAATGCCTGCTTGGTCCCACTTCTCAGTTCCTCAGTTCCTGATGTGATAACTGCGTGGTGTTTTTGCAGGCAGTGATTGGCTAAAGGTTTTCAGAGCTTGCTCAGCAAATGCAAGTATCCATTGGCTGTTAGTTCTCAGAGAATGTTGTGGAAGGTCCCCAAACTTGGCAACTTTAAGACTTGTGGACCAACTCCTAGAATTTTCCAGCAAGCTATGCTTTGAGAATTCTGGGAGTTGAAGTCCACAATTCTTAAAGTTGCCAAGTCTGGGAACCTTTATTGTGGACTCTCAAACAATGTGTGCCTGAATTGGATCATATTTTTTTCAGATCTAGAAATAATCACAGCAACGGGTCAATCTCTGCTGTATTTTCATTATGGAATTATATAAGACAAATGAAAGAAATACTAGAATTTCCCTAAAATATAAGTTCCAGACATTTTTCCCATTTCCAATTTATATATGGTTTATTCTTTAATTTTTAATTCAGACCATATCATTTTTAAAATGTATAACACTGAAAAGATTAACATTTGTATCTTTCCCTTTTCAGTATTATATTGGTTACAATACACCCATGAACATACATAATCTCACACATGCATATACCCACATCACGCACGCACGCACGCACACACACACACACAGAGAGAGAGAGAGAGAGAGAGAGCTTGTTTTCTTGTTTAACTCTAACAAACTTTCATTCAGTCCCCAAATAAATTAAAGTAGTAGGATAAAAAGATTTGAGGTGGCAATCTGATGGCACCAGCTTCTTGAATTGTGAAGTCTCCAAGTTCAATTTTTGCTAAAAGAAATATAATGAATGGGGAAATAGAATAGTACTTTAAAAAAGTGTATGGCTTTACAAAAACTACAAGGTTTCAAAAAAAGATTAGAACTGGAACACTAAACAGTGTCCAATTGTGAAATGTGGGACAGTCTGCTCTATCATTTGAATGAATTGCTTTCAGAATAAGAATATTAGCCTGGATTTGATCTTGATAAACCTCAAGGAGAGAAATCTGCATATTAAAAGGGATTTTTAAAATATAGATAACTTGAAATAAGCTATTTGTGGGGGAGAAACAAGTGTCTTATGGATTGGCCTATTGATATAATCATAATCATATTGTCAATTATGACAATATGACAGTTGTCAATTATGGTTCAATTTGATTATAAATGTGTCCTGCAAAAAACTAGAACTTGGCTCTTAGCATGAGAGAATACATTGAGGTTCAGTTCTGCATTTGTAGTTAGGAATATAAGCTTCCAGGTTTTTGTAGATGCTGATTCCCAACAGAATAAACCTTACAATGCAATGTGACTGACAGAGCTGGAGAACCTCTCTGTCTTTATACCCATTTTAGAAACAGGAGAAATGAGTTTTGATCTAGAGTTACTTAAGCTAGTCACCTTAGTCACCATTTTACATAGTCAATATTTTGAAAAATATTTTTATGGTTTTTCATAAATGTTATTTTTTCAATTAGTACTTAGGATCACTGAGATTCAAGTGACATTGATTGGTTCCATGTTACATCAGACTCCTTAGTAATAGTAATATAGTTTATTAGTAGTAATACTGTATTCTTAACTCATCGAGGTTAATGAAAATATGACCAGATACCAGTAACCAGAAAGATGTTTTGATATTTCATATACCTTTAAGAACTCTACATTTCTTTGAACTAAGCAAGCAGGATCAAAATTTACAGCATATTAAAGCCTTCAAAATATTTTGGATTCAAAGACTTCTGATTTCAAAATAGCCCATTCTGAACCCAAATTAGCTTCTTGGAGCTTGAAACATATTCTTAGTTCATTGGAAATGTTCAACCAATTTCTGACCTTAATGAAAGTATTAGCTCAAAATATTACAAGTTTGAAACATTTTCACACATTTCTATAACAGACATTATTTAAAGCATGACCTTTATGAATGGTGAGAAAAGAAATAGCAGTTCTCAGGGCAAAGTGAGTAATTTTCTCAATAGCCAACAACCACATAGCTTCAACCACTCAGCTATGAAACACAGGGAAAGGAGCAATAAATTCAAACTGTTGGGGTGTAAGAAAGGATCTGCACCCTCTCACTGACAGAGGCAGATGGTCAATGTAGTTTCTTCTAGTGTGCCAGATAAATTCTTATCATACCACACACCATACTATGATTTTAAGAGATTTATTTGCCTAGCAGCCAAGTTAAGCTATGTAAAGTCAAGAGGCTGAAACTTACTGCTGGAACCTGACACACAGAGCATAAAATATCTCCGCCTCTCTCCTACAGTTATACAAATTTATAATCAACTTTAGATTACATGGAAAACTTTCTCCTGTCTTAAGTTTACCTTAGATTAGTAGTCCAACATTGCATTCTTATGGCAAGGAAGACTCAGTACTGTCTCATAAAACAGATTTAAGACTTTGGAAAAGTAATATTTATATATTTTATTATTTGGTTATTCTTGTGTTTATTAAAGAATGTTATAGTTTCTTACTATTTGTTTCTTTAGCAGTTTTAAAAAACAGAGCCAGAATGAAGAGATGGAATCCAAGTTGTCTGATGCCATGGAGGTTGTTCAAAGTGAAGAAAGTAGCTTAACATGGGAGACCAATTCAAGTAGATGTTCCACATCCCATGCCTCAGAAGCCAGCGTTACATCTGGGGTATACAGTATGGAAAACTCATACACAGATTGTTCTTCAGGGAAAGTTACTTTCCTGAAGGAAAAGAGAAAGACTTCGCAGGAAAAGCTGAGCAATTCAACCCATCAGATGTTAAATGAGAAGATGGAACCTGACAGCCAAGAATGTGATTTTACTCAGATGTCAGTGCTGAAAAAAGCTGAAGAAAGTGAACTTGATCCGTCTGATCCACAATCATGGCCCTCTCAAGTACAGCCTTCTAAGATTAAAGACTATTTGGTTCAAGTCACAAAGGAAGTGACTGCTGGGTCAGAGGATAAAGAAAATATTTTGATGAAAAAGGGGGAGCTGCCTATCAAAGGAACAGTAAGAGCCAGGATCCTTCAAATCACTGCTGTATTGGAAGAAAGACATAAAAAGGTTTTCCGAAGGATAAACAATAAAGATATGCCTCCACCCTCAGAGGTGATCAGAAAGCCAAGAGAACCACCCAAAGTCTTCTCCAGACGAGGCATATCTGTATCTTTACGGCACATTGAACAAAACACTGCAGAGAAGAATAATAAGAAGGAAGTTCTGAGTTATAATCTCAGACATGTAGAGACAAAAAGTTCAAAGTCTGCACTTTACAACAAAGAGGAGAGGAAACCACAGCATTTGTTTCTCCCTACAACGCAAAAGAAGCCTTCAGAGAAGCTACCAAAATTTTCAACACACCTTGGTGACAAAACAAAGAAGCCAGACACCAAACAATATTCACCTGCAATTCATACCTCACTTCCAGAACTGACTCAACCAGCTGAATCTGAAAAAATGAAAAAAAAGGCAAAACAGTCTGTTTCTCCAAATACTTCAAATACCGCACTGGAAAAATCATTCAACTTTGTTGGTGAAAAAAAAGAAATTCAGGATCATACACCAATGACTGTTGAAGTGTCTGATTTATTAAAAGAAGTAAGGTCACTGTCCGAGAATCAAATAACTCAGTCTTGTTCCCCAGTTCCTGTCGAACCACTTCCTTATGTTGAATCAGAAACAGAAAATCAATCTGACTCAGTTAGAACAGTGTTATCAGAAGCTTCGATTCAACATGTACAGCACCCTCATAATATTGCAACAATTCACTGTGAACCTAAAAGTTGTAACTTAACTGAAGTTAAAACTCACTCTGTGGAATCTACAATTCCTTCAAGACTGGAGATCAAAGATCCATCCTTAGGGCAGTCTGTTGAAGAAGCAGAGAAGCAAGAGGTTTCTCTTCATTCAACTGACATCACAGATGCTAACCCTGAGATGTCAAAATTACCATCATTTGTTAGAAAAGCAGAAAAGCAAGAAAAAGAACAATTATCAGAGAAATCTTCAGACAAAGAAAGGATGCCGGAGCAATTTACTGTGCTTTTACAAACAAAATCAGACCAGCTACCCTTATTGTCTTCGGTTCAGGAGTCTGAATCTGCATCAGATTTAGCAGTTATGAATGCTGAACCTGAAGTGATTGATTTAGCTGAAATTACAAATCAAACTATGGACTCTACAATTCCTTCTGGAATGGAAGTCAGTGATACATCCTTGGAGTTTTCAGTTGAAGAGACAGAGAAACAAGGGGTTCCTTTTTATTCAACTGAAACCAAAGACACCATCCCTGAGAAGGCAAGATTACCATCTTCTGTTAACGAAGAAGAAAACCAAGAACAGTTGGCAGGGAAATATTCAGAAAAAGAGCAGTTAGAGGACAAAATAACTGCACCTTTTGAAACAAAGTTAAATCAGCTACCCTTGTTTGGGTGTTTGGACCACAAGTCTGAAGCTCATGAAACTGAACCTGCATCTCATTTAGCAACAAGGCATAGTGAATCTGAAACATCTGATTTCGCTGAAGTTAAAAATCAAGCTATGGACTCTGCAATTCATTCAGAAATGGAAATCAACTTAGAGCATTCAGTTGAAGAAGCAGAGAAGGAAGCAATTATTCTTTATTCAAAAGAACTCAAAGATAAAAAAGCAAGGTTACCATCTTCTGTTAAAGAAAGAGAAAAGCATGAAGAACAGCTGGCAGGGCAATATTCAGAAAAAGAAAGATTACAGGACAAATTAACTGCATCTTTTGAAACAAAGTCAGATCAGCTACTTTTGTTTGGTTGTCAAGACAATAAATCTGAAGATCATGAAACTGAACCTGTATCTGATTTAGCAGCTATAGGTGGTGAGCCTGAAGTGTTGGACATATTTGACATTAGAAATCAAGCTATGGAATTCAAAATTTCTTCACAAGTGGAAGTCGAAGGTGAGCCCTTGGAGCATTCTACTGGAGAAGCTGAGAAGCAAGAAGTTCCTCCTTATTCAATTAAAACCAAAAATGCCATCTCTGAAAAGGCAAGATTACCATCTTCTGTTAAAGAAAGAGAAAAGCAAGAAGAAGAACAGCTGGCAGGGCAATATTCAGAAAAAGAAAGGTTACAGGACAAATTAACTGCACCTTTCGAAACAAAGGCAGACCTGCTACCCTGTGGTGCTGATGACCATAAATCTGAAGCTCACGAAACTGAATCTGAATCTCATTCAGCAGCACCTGAAGTGTCTGACTTAGCTGAAATTAGAACTCAAACTATGGAATCCACATTTCCTCCTGAACTGGAAGTCAAAGGTACGCCCTTAGAGCATTCTTTTGGAGCAGAGTTTTCTTTTTATTCAGCTGAAACCAAAAGTGCCATCCCTGAAAAATCAAAATTGCCATCTTCTGCTAAAGAAGCAGAAAAGGAAGAAAAAGAACAGCTGGCGGAGGAATATAAAGAAAAGGAACAGTTACAAAATAAATTAACTACACCTTTTGAAAGAAAGTCAGAAGAGTTGCCTGTGTTTGAGTGTTTGGAACACAAATCCAAAGTTCATGAATCTGAACCCATATTTGATTTAGCAGCTATGTGTGGTGAATCTGAAGTGTGCGATTTAGCTGAAATTAGAAATCAAACTATGGAATCCACAGTTCCTTCAGAAATGGAAGTCAACAGTACACCCTTGGAGCATTCTGTTGGAGAAACAGAAAGGCAGACAGTCCCTCTTTATTTAACTGAAACCAAAGAGGCCATCCCTGAAAAAGCAAGATTTCCATATTCTATTAGAGAGGGAGAAGAGCAAGAAATAGAACAGTTGTCAGACAAAACAAAGGTGGAGGATCAATTCACTGTCCTTTTCCAAAGAAAGTCAGGCTCTCTTCCCTTGGTCCACAAATCAGAAGGTGAAGAAACTGAACTTGCACCAGATCTAACTTCTACAACACAGGAAATCTGTAACACCATGGAAGAACCCACCGGACTTTCAAAGTCCTCTTATACTATGGTTAAAGAAGAAGCCGGAAAAGAAGGAAAATTGAAATCAGACTTGCCAAGTCAAGCTGCTCAGACTCAGCCATCTCTGACCACTGTCTCAGAAGGAAAACATCTAAGAGACAAAACAGAGACTCAGCTTGCCTCAACAGAATCTTTGTGCCCAGATTCCACACTCTTGGTTCCAAATGCACAGGAGGAAAAGGCTCAACATCAAGAGTCAGATGCAGAACATCTTGTCATCTCCAAATCCATAAAGGCACCACATGGACCTGAAGAGATATCACTTCTCCATGACAAAGTTACTGAGCCAGTCAGCTCATCAGAACACTTGCTATCTACTCCATCTTTTCTTATTGCCAGTCTGGAAATGCATGGGACACAGCCACCTCCACTAAAGACTACAGCACCATTGTTTGAACAGCCAGACTCTAATATACCCTGCCTGACTCAGCAAATGGAAAGACACAACAATCAGTCTGATTCCACTGAATTAACTCCTGTGATAGCAGAGGCGTCTTTTTCTACTGGGTCTTTCCAAAATGCTGAAACAACAAAAGAAGAAAACCCGTCTTTGTCATCCACAGAGGTTCTAGCCAAAGAATTAGTATCTAAACCAAAGGAGCCAGAAACGGGCACGGATAAAAAAACAGGGCGACTTTCCCCCACTGTATCTGCACAACATCCAGGTCACGCACCTGTTCAAATGCAAGAATTGAATTTAGAAAATCAGCTGCACCCCACTATAAACGCACAGTCAGATGTTGAGAAACAGGCTAAATCCTCTTGTGAAATAAGTGAAGATCAGCCGAAACAACCATTGGAATCGAGAGAGCATTTTATGCAGCAGAATTCTACTGTTTCATCCCAGTTGGAAGGAACAACTGCTTTGCATGCTGTCAATGAAATGCATAAGGAAATTATGCAACCTGATAAACCTATCATCAAGCCATTGCAACCTGATTCATTACATCCGGGTTTTGAGCCACCACAGACAGATGCTGTTCAGCAGCAAACTCTTCGTCATTTATCACAAACACTTCTACCCATAGATGTGGATACATTGCAGTTAGGAGAAGAAAAAGAGGTAAATGGGACCCAGCCTCCTTTGCCCGCAACTAAGCAGGCTTTATCACAGTCAGTTTATTCAAGAGATGTGCAAGAAAATCAAAGTATTTCACTAACTTCAGCCAAAGATTCTGAACTTTTAAGCTTGCAACTCAATAAAGGTGATGCAGACCACTATGGCACTGCTGATCCAGAATCAAAGCACCTGGCAAAACATGCTGTTGAACCTATAACTCTGCAACCAGAGACTCCTTCCACAAATGAGATGCAGTTCATGCCTGAATTGAGAAAACATTTAGATGCATCTGTTCCCATTTCAAGCACAGAAGGAGAAGGCCTTCAAATGCCTGTATCTGTGACAGCAGAATCAGAAGATGAACAGCCAATATCTTCTAAAAAAGATAGGGAAGAAACGGAATGTAGTGCACCCATAATTCCAACATCCAAATTAAAAGGTTCTGCTTCAGAAACACAGGGAAATCAAAATGATTTGTCTAAGACATTAAATGAGGCATCTGGATCACCACCATTAATTTTATCATCTGTCCCTGATAAAATAAAGCCCCAGGCAATACTTACTGAGTCAGTAGTAAGTTCACTACCAGCCTCACAACAATCAAATGCTATTTCTTCAGAACTTATGGACAAAATTGAAATAGGAAAAAATAATTTCCCTTTCCCCGACTCTCAAGATGTATTGTCAGATTTACCATTCCTTACAACTTCCTCTATAGAGGAGGTCAGCAAAGAACCACTGGCCACAAAAACTGTGTCTGAGGAAACCAGATCTACTCTACATGATGCTACATCTGAAGAAATAAATGAATACTCTCCTGTTTCAGCAGCATTGTCTGCAGAACATGTTTTTGTTGAACCTATTTCATCTTGTGCTTCTCCTGAAAAAGAGAAACAAGTGCAGCCTCATTCAATTTTCAGTGAAGAAGAACCAATGGATGTGGCTGTTAGGAAAGCAAATGTGGAAGATGCTCAGTCTCATTTGCTTGTTACTCCATGTTCTGAAACTGAGAGGCAGGATAGCAAGCTATATAGTCCTGTGGCATTGCAGTCAGAGCTGGAAGGTCTCACTTTATTGAATTCCACTGAAGAAAAACCCAAGCAAGAAACTTCCACCTTGCCTCAAGGAATATTATATTGCCATGAAGAAAAAGAAGACCAAAAACGAAGAACTTCTCAGACTGAATGTTCAAAAGACCAGGATGCTCCATTAAAAGACAACAATTTATTCCAACCAGTAAAAGAATCACAGTTGGAAAAAATTCAGCTTTATTGTTCTGCAACTCTTCAAGATTCATCCCAGTTGGCCGATATGAATCTCCAAGAACAAGAGGGTTATCTGCCTAAAACTGACGAGGTAGATTCTGCTGTTCCTGTATTATCACAGTTGATGGATGATGCAAAAAAGCAAGAAATGCAGATAACATGGTCTGAAGCTGCTCAAATAGAAGGTAAGCAATCGGTTTTGTTAAAAAATGAAATTAAACCAGACTTGCATCCATCATTCACTGCCTCCCTGGATACAAAACAACCAGAATTCTATTCATTTGAGGAACAAAATCAGACTTCTGAACAAGAACCACTCATTTCATCTCTTTTCAATAAGAAAGTGAAAGAGCCAGAAGAGAATTCATATCCATCTTTAGTCTCAACATCTTTATTGAGCCCATCCAATTCTGCTACATTGGATTCAGATAAGAAACAAGAAGATCAGCCTTGCATGATTGTAATAACAAAGGAGATGCCAGAAGAACCCATGTCTATAGCTGCATTCCTTCTTTCTGAGGCAAGGACAATAGAAACGTTTTCCCCACAGATCTCAGAAAAAGAGAATTTAGATACTCAAGCTCCTTTTGGGGATGCTGACTCAATAAATGGTTCAACTGTCCTTCCTGAGAAAAATGCAACAGCAGAGAAGAAAACTGAGTTTTCTCCTACACACTTTGAATCAGAACCCCAGGTAGACAGAATCATTAGTACAGAACATCTTTCAAAAGCAGAAGAAACAAAACATTTGCCTGCCATGGAGGATACTTTGAAAGTGCCTGAAAACTATTTGAGTAAAGAGAAGGAATTCAAAGATCAAGAAAAACTGAGAGAAGAAGCCTTACCAGCTCCTAATCTTGATCAAAGAAAAGACATAATTAATATTTCTGAAAGTTGTGAAGTTCTGAAAACTAATATTCCTCTCATTTCCACTGTTGATAGAAAAAAGATTATACTAGAGGCAGTAGAAACCATTTCATTGTTGGAAACAAAAGCATTTAATGATACTAGAGATGTGGTTGTTGATAAGGAATCTTCAGTGGACAAACCAAATAAACAATATACAGAGGTCTTAAAGGTAGATCACCATGAAATGACAGAAAATGAATCAAAGGAACTTGGAAAAGGGAAGGGTATTAAGGAAAGCACAGAAGTTGAAGAGGTTTCTGTTATTCGAGAGAGCAAAGATGATAATATTTTTAATAATGCCAATATTGATTATGTTGAAAAGGATACTTTGATTGAAAATACATCTTTCACTCAAACAGAAAAAGAAAAGACTATTCAGGACACAGAGAGACCATTTGATGATATAGGTAAACGATATGTTGAAGCAACATATCCAGCAGCAAAATCAAAGAATATTTTGGAGCTGTCTTTATTAGAAAGAGAATTGAATGAAGCCCCTAATGGAATGATAGAAAAACAACATGCAGTAGCTACCCATCAAGACATTTCAAAAACAGCAAATGAAAATAAAACGATTGAAGCTGTTAGGGATGATGATAAAAGCTTAGAGCATGAGTTTAATTTAGCAAACACTAATGCAGTCTTATTTAATACTGAGAAAGATGATTTGCCTCAGCCTCCAACTGCTTCCTTGCCAATGAGTGTAGTAGACTCTGAGGTTCTAGAGATGTCACCTGCCTTGGCATTTTTATGTAAAGATTTCTCTGAAGAAGCAGAGGGTGATTCTAAAAAAGATAGCCACAAAAGTAAAGAAGTGAAGGGTATTGATCTGCCTTTTCATATCAGAGATCATATTCCAGATGATGGGATTGAAACACATCTGGAGAAGGAAATTCCTAGAGATTACACTCCAAATAATGTGGAAGAATCCAAGAATGAAGACATTTTAAATGGTCAGTCTTTTAAAGAGGAAACTTTAACCCAACCAAAAGTTACAGAAGATGCTTACGAACCAAATGGAAAAAAGAATGAGTCTGCAGATATTCAACCTGATCTATCTGCCCAAGTGGAGGAATGTCTGAGTGATACACTTACAAATGGGGTAACTGAGATTGCGAGTGATGTAAAAATTAGGATTTGTCAGCCAACACATGCAATTCCTTTTGGAAGAGAGTTCTGTAGCTCAGGAGCTAGCAATGATGACAGTAGTCAGAGAAGAGAAGAAGAATCCTTATCTGAGGACACAGAACAGCAGCTACCAGAAGAAACAAGTGATGAGGAGTCTAGTCCAATACTTGATTATGCCGCAACTATATATCAGACTGAATCATCTGGGCAAGATGGATCAAAGAATGATGCTGGATATGCAGTCATCCAAAACCAACAGTCTGAAATAAAAGAAGTTCATGGAATGGATGAAGGTGAAGTTGTAAAGACTGCAGAAAAAAATGCACAGTCTCTTGAAGGATTAGGTCAGGCTGAGAGGCAAGGTGAAAGACAACTAGAAGATACATATGTTTTAGTTGAGCCCCCAATACAAGATACAAAGGTTTTAGATCACAAAGATCTTCCATGTTTGGACACTGAAGTGCAAAAAACTGAGAACAGAATTGGAGAAAATGGTGCCCAGCATGTAATGCAGTATGACACAACAGACCAGTTAGCAGCAGGGGTAAAATCTGAAAATCAATTTGGGGAAGTTGACTATTCTCTTTTGTCACATGATTTTGATACCTACCCATTATACTCAATAAAAGAGGAGGAGGACAGTGACATTGATGAAGATCTAGCTGAGCTCTTAAACTATGAGGTGGTTACCCACGATGATGTCTTTCAGGAAGAAATCTCTTCAGAAATAGCTCATGAAGAATTTCTTTTTGATGATAAAGAATCCCTAGCTGGCATTAGTGATACTTATGAATTTGTGAATGAAGGAGAGGCAAGAATGTATGCTGAAGAAAAGGCGGCTGAATCGCTTGATCTTGAAATGCTACAAAGAAATGTACCAGAATATGAATTTCTACAGAAAGAAATTGATGAAGCACATTTGGATACATACTGCTATGAGTGCGAATGTCCCATATCCTCTGAGGATAAGCTGTTTGAGGAGCATAAAGACCATAAGGTAGCCGATTTGGGTACAGCTGTGACTGTGTTAAAGGTAAGACATTCAAAGTATGAGGTCATACTGCTCTTTGTTCTCACTGTCATATGTTAGTGTTTAACTAAAATAGACAAAAGCAGCAATATATACCGTGTTTCCCCAAAAATAAGACCTGCTCTTATTTCTTTTTGGCCCCAAAGTAAGCATCACGTCTTATTTTCGGGGGATGTGTTACCCACTTACCTTAGGACTACCAGAGCCAAGTCTCCCATGCCCCAATATCTGTTGCACTGCTGCCTGACTTGTTCTGCGGCTGCTCATGGCTTGATGCCGCATGACTCATCACCCTGGTGCTGCTGATCATGGCAGAATATTGCGTCGCTTGCTGGGCTGGTTCCACCACTCATGGCAAGATACCATGAGGTTGGTCGCACCAGTGCCACTGCTTGTAGCAGGACACCGAGTGGCTGGTCATGCTGGTGGCCCTGCTTGAGGCAGGAGACTGTGGTGTGGTGTGCTGTTCTGTGTGGGAGCGGTGGCACCAGTGTAATGAGCCTCACAGCATTCTGCTGTGATTGGTGCACTGGTGCAATGAGCCTTACAGTGTTCTGCCATGAGTGGCGGCACCAGCACGATGTGCCATGTGACATCAGGCCGTGAGCAGCTGCTGAATAAGTCAAGCAATGGTATGACAGATGTCGGGGCATGGGAGGCCTGGCTGTGGTGGTCATCAAGTAAGTGGGCGCAGGGCATGTGAGTCAGCTCAACTCCCCCACTCCAGCCCTAGCTTGATTTTTACATCTGCACCTTGCCCCACCTCATACAACCAGATGGTGGGCTTATTTTTGGGTAGGGTTTATATTAGGCACAGGCGTGAAAATCGGGCTAGGGCTTGTTTTCAGGGTAGGTCATATTTTCAGGGAAACATGGTATCTAGTTGCTCTCTTCTCCATTCTCCCCTGCGTGCCCTAGAATGAAGAGGGGGTGGGCCTTGGTCTTCCTCTGAACCCCCTCTCCCTTGTTCTACCTCTTCTCTGCTCTGCCCAGCCTGACTTTGCCCTTCCCCAGTTTCCTCCACAGCCAACGGAGTCACTCTCCCATTCCATGTCAGCTGTTTGTCTTCCTCCTCGGATTCAGACTCTGACAGGGGCTTGATGCAGACAATATGGCCATTGGCAATGTATTGAGGCAAAGAAAATATGAAGAAACCAACATTCCTGCAAGATGAAGAAAGCAAACACTTATCAGTAATATAAGACAAGCTCTTATGGTTATATAAGACATGCTTATGGTTGGCTTGGACGAATAACAATTCTTCTTGAAATAGCTCAGAAACAATGTTGTATTTCTACAGACGTTATTTTCCCCCAGAAACTTGAGGTTCTCTCTCTTTTCTTTTTGAGAAATGAAGACAGGTAAAGAAAACAGGTAATAATGGGAAACACTATGCAAAATGCACTCTCGTAGAACCAGTAGTAAAAAAGGGTGAATCCTACCACTGACCTAAAGGTTTGCTATACTTCTATGATTCAGTCAAAACCAAGAGCAAACAAAAATTGTAGCAATTTTTTCATATTAATTTTAAAGATTTTAAAGATCTTTGAGTAGTACAGCAAGGATTTTCAATACTGAAGTATGACTACATGGAAAGTCTGCTTCTGCCTGACTGTTGAGATAAATATTGTGAGCATTTCTCTTGAATGTCTTATATTAACAGGAGAAGGAAAGCTCTTTCTCTAAAGAGTCCTCATCAGTATAATGGAATCCACAGGAAAACCTTCATGACCCAGATTGTTGGGGGCAATATTTTGACTCTGTAAACCACTTAGAGAGGGGTGTAAAGCACTGTGAAGCAGTATATAAGTCTAAGTGCTATTGCTATCTTTACTTCATTAGTTCAGACGCTAAAATATGATACCCTCCCTGCCTTTTTCTGGACAAAGCATTATGAGTTTGTTCATAAATTTTCTGTGGATGTTTGGTATGTATGAAAGATACTGTATTATCCATCCATTCATCCATCCATCCATCCATCCATCCTTTTGATATCTGTAAACTACCCCCGGAGTAGTTTCGACTTGGACATTAAATACTATAGTACAGTGTAACACAGTGCACTGTAGTATAACATAGCATAGTATAATAAAATATGAAATGTAGAGTAGTCAATAGAGGATTCTAGAAGTCCCAATCAGATGACACATAGGTACTATGTGTAGCATATAATCATAGATTTCAGATTTTATTGCAAAGATATAGTCTGGGCCTTCTCTTGAATGTTGTTAGGCAAGCCTTCCTTCCTTCCTTCCTTCCTTCCTCCCTCCCTCCCTCCCTCCCATAAACACCTCAGATGTTTTTTGCTTAATTTATTAATTTTGAAATAAAGCCACCTGAGAAGATAAACTTACTGATTGGCTTGTAATATACCCTTAATCAGTTAGAAGCATAATGCCACACACCAGCAGCAGAACAAAGTCCATTTAAACAGCAAAAGCTTGGATATTTTCAATTATTTACCTCAGTGTCCACTCCTGGCTTAAAGACTGTTTTAAGAGCTCAGTAAACTCCTCTAAGAGCTGAATTATGAATGGAGGTTGTTGTTTTTTAGCTGACACTATGCTCTAGGCTGGTTTGCCGCTGTCCTGGTTTATAAATAGTCTCCCATATTTGATGCCCTAGGGCAGATATCATTCCAAATCATGGGATGTTGACTATAATTATGGGAGTTGTACTCCAGCTCATATAAAAGGACTAGTGTGGGGCAAGGCAGCTTTTCCATATTACTGTGGTGTGGTGGATGATAAGCAGTTGCTAAGAATATCAACAGAGTCATAGGCCTTGGAATTGTCCCTAAACTAGTTTCTTGAAAGTTGAAGGACTCAAGGACGTTCTGTGTCATCTGCCTTGGTCCTGCAATTTAGAAGGAGAGCCAGGAATAAATTCTAGCTCTGTAATAAATTCTTCACACTATAGTTCCACTAGGCAGAAAGATCCTTAGATGGCATTTCTGTTTCATTTCTACTATTGTATATTCACATATGATCATATCCCTCTATAAAAAGTGTTTAGGTAACTGAAATTAACCATTCCAGCTTTTGTCAATTACAGAATGTGCTCTGCATAAGAAGCTGCTAAGAGTGGATGTTCTTTAAAATCAAATGTTTCCACTTGAAACATATATTCATTATAACATTGTATTCTGCTGTATGCATTTTTATAATTCATGGGTGTCACATATGTTAATTTCAAACCCTTATCTTCCTTTTAAGCAAATAGTGATATCTGATTTCTGTTAAAGTCAGCTGTCTGCAAATTATTTGGAGTCAGAGGGCTAAATATTCTGAAGGAAGGTCAAGGAGGGAACCTGAAAAAACTAGCCTATTTCATGACTACTGTCTCAATTATTTGAAGTGCAGTTTTGTCACAGTAGAAATAGAGGTGGAAAGGAAAGCAAGTCAAACAATAAAGAGATCAGGGGAGCCAGCAGGGGAGTTAAAAAAAAGTCAAGATGGCGGCTAGGACTGCATGTTCAAAACCCCACCTCCCAATGTGCCACTTTGACAGACACCCTATCAGGAATAAAGATGACAAAAAAGCATTTATTTGATTAAACAAGATGCCGGCAATCTAAAGGAACCACATACCATGTTCTGCTCCTTTTTCCTTCTATAGCAGAGCTCTCCAAACTTGGCAATTTTAAGACTTGTGGACTTCAACTCCCAGAATTCTCCAGCCGGCTGGAGAATTCTGGGAGTTGAAGTCCACAAGTCTTAAAGTTGCCAAGTTTGGGGACCTCTGTTCTATAGCCTCCCTCTAACCTGTGTCTTTAATATAAGATGGGCTTTCCCAAATGTAGCAACTTTAAGCAGTGTAGACTTTAACACTCATGGCTGGCTAGGGAATTCTGGGATTTGAAGTCCACACATCTTATAGTTGCTAAGGCTGAGAAACTCTGATATATGGAATCTCCCAGAAAAAACATCTGATGAAGATAGAAGGAAAATCTGCTTGCTATCCCAAACTTGTAAACACACAAAGACCTTCCAAATAAAGGCTAAATCCAGGAAGTGTAACAAGATGAGCAACCTGTTGATCACACGATGATCAACATCTGGGACCTTGCAATTGAGTGCAATTCGACCAATCCTTGCAGCAATAGTGTTGGAGGCAGGAGGACTATTTCAAGGAAGTGAATGTTGCTCAGAGTCATCTTGAACTCTGCAAGATTGGTGAAAAATAAATTTAATAATACAGAAAGTATTATTACAGAGGTGGTATTCAGAAGGTTCTGACCAGTTCTGGAGAACCGATAGTGGAAATTTTGAGTAGTTCGGAGAACCAGCAAATACCACCTCTGACTGGCCCACCCCATCTATTCTCCGCCTCCCGAGTCCCAGCTGATTGGCTGGGTCTTCTTTTGTTGCCCTGCACAGGAGAACAGAGCTGGAAAGCAGGTTAGTGGGGTGGGGAGGGAATGGAGATTTTGCAGTGACCTTCCCCTGCCACGCCCACCAAGCCATGCCCACAGAACCGGTAGTAAAAAAAATTTGAATCCCACCACTGGTAGACAAGTGCTTAAGAGGGCAAACCTGTATTCTCACTTGGAGTGGGGTAGGGATCTTTGGCTCAGCTGCTTCAGTACTGTCACATGCTAGTTGAAGAATTCTGAAAGTCCATACATCTTAAAGTTGCCCTGGTTGAACACACCAGCATATTAACATCCATAGAAGTTTATCAAAACATAAGAAGGATTAATGATTACATGGAAAGAACAGAGATACAGAATTGGCTCAATTGATGAAGCAGAATCGTTTTATAAGGAATTTTTTAAAAGAAGAGAAACAGAGATAGAAGAAGAGACTACCTTAACTGAATTTCAAGAGGACCAAATAGAGATGGGAAAAGAAGAAGGTGCAGTAGGTGGACAAGTGGAGACTAAAGAACAACGTGAAGTAAGATCAACGAGAGCCGTTAGACCTAAATATAAATCATAACTATGGAGGAAAAAAAATTGATTTCTTTGAATATAAATGGACTGAATTCAGCTACTAAAAGAA